GCGAGAGTCTGAGCGAATTTTGTTAATAACTTTTGTTTGATTGAGAGAGCGCTTGTTTTGTTTCTACTCCTCGTGTATCCCTTAAACCCCTATTTTATTTTTGGTTTTTTTGTCGATTTATTTATCCCCCAAACAGCATTGCTGTTTGGGGGATATTTTTTGTTTGTTTTAAGCGTTTGTGATCATGAGTGAGCGAATTAGAGTGATCGGACGGATTACGTGGCAACTGACCCTGGACCGCAAAAGACGATGAGACCGAAGAAGGATTTGGCTAATGGTGTTCCGCCCGATGGATCTACGGTTAACAGGAATGTTTTTGACAAAGGCTTGACGGTATCTGTGGAAATTGTTGGTGATGACCGAATCACTATGATGGAATTACTTCGGAAAATTAAAGAACTGTGTGGCAAGGTGATTGGATGTACATTCAAGACGCCCGACAAGATATGAGATCACTATAAAGCACTGAGGAAGGAAAAGAAACTAATCGATGGCTTTAAAATCAAAAAATACGAATATTATGGCCAAAGAGCTGGCTAACGACGAGGTGGTCGTCTCTTTTTTCCAAATCTGCCTGTTTATATAGAGGACGATGTGATCTTGGCAAAACTTTTCATGTGGGGTGTCACGCCGATTTAAGCCAATTAGACGGAGAAAATGGACAGGGACCGACATTGCTGATGGGATGCGTTTCCTGAAAGTTAAATTCACTGACACTGTTTTATTCGTTACCTTATTCCACGAAGTTTGAGACTTTAGAAGGCGCTGAATTTATTTTCGGGTAATTCATGATCGCCAAGTTCGAGTGTGCAGGCTCTGCATACAATCGGGACATGTGATCCGGGATTGCCCGGAGTTTCTGTGCAGACGATCACGAGCAACAAGGGCATTATGCCCGAGAATGTCACCTGTATTCGTGCGGCGATTGCAAAAAGCTAAAGCAAAACTGCATATGTCATGACCGAACTGCGGCATCTCTGGAGTTGAATCCTGAAAGTCGGGAGCTGAATGTGGTGGATAAGGAAGAGGAGATGCCTTCGTTAGAAGGGAGTGATGACGATGCAGACGAGGAGGACCCTGATGTACACCCATCCCAGTCACGGTCAGCGGAAACAGCCGAAAACCAAGCAGTTCTACCGCGAAACAGCCAGATGGGAAGTACCCTTGATGACATTATTCCAGAGGAACTAAGAAGCCAGGAGCCTGTAGCTCGGACTGAGAGGCAGGTGGGGGCTGCTGAAGCCCTCGCTACGCCTCTTGAGAAGAGCGGAGATGGGGAAAGAGTACTGGCTACCGAGCCCTCTGGAGATGGCGGTGCTTCGGACGCGGCGGATCAGGATATTGCTGGGTCTGGTGTACTATTTACTCAGTCGGAAGAGGCTGGGGCTGAGATGATGGAAGAGGATGAGGGTGATGAGACCGACTCGGGTGTAATTCGGGGACTTGTAGGTTTGCGCCGTCGGGCGTTATTGGAGGAAAAGGAAGCAGCATAAATAGAGCTTTAATTACTCTTTAAGAAGGAAAGAAGAGTAGGAAAGGGGACGTTTGAAGAGATAACTGTGAGTCATTATGTTCTTGTCTCTTCTCTATTTTATGGCGATCATAGTTTCTTTTAATGCCAATGGCTTAAGAAACAATGATCGATTTAAACAGATGCTTGAGTCCTGCAATGCAGATATAATTTGTTTACAAGAGACGAACTGGGACTATAAGAAAAGTGATGAACTACGGAGGATTTGGCGTGATGAAATGTTTGTTAATAAAGGAGCTGAAAACACTTGTGGTGTTGCAATTTTAACTGACTCTGCCACTGTTAAAAATTGCCGCTTATTATATGATGATAAGTGTGGAAGACAAATTAGTATTGAATATACATTTAATGGTGTTGTTTTCAGATTGTTCAATTTGTATGCTTTCAAAGATGGAAAGGAGCGGAAAAAAAATTTCATTGAAATTTTACATGATAACATAGTTTTTAAAAATATGAAGATTCATTAGAGGAATTTACATTCTGGTTTATTGTAATATGTGAATGATCTGCTATTATATTTTGAATTCATGGATGTCTAGTGTCAAATCATGTTACATGTATATTCACTGATGTAATTTATTCAATAAAAGAAAAAAAAAAAAAAAAAAAAAAAAAAAAAGGCGATGGACTGCTAATCCATTGTGCTCTGCACGCGTGAGTTCAAATCCCATCCTCGTCGTTCAGGGCGCATAGCTGATGGTGACCATTTTGCCTGTAAAAGCATGGTTTATTCCTTCTGAAATCTCTTGTGGAATAAGTCAGGTAAGTTACTTTCTTTCTTAGGAAAGGCTTTCTTCCTAGACAATCACACCAAGTACAACTTTTCTTTTTCCAGTCAATATTCCCCAGTTCAAAGGGCTGTTGGTTTTCGTCAGAGCAATTATCTATTTGTCTGAGAAACACTGCTTTGTGAAATGAAACTTTGTCATGGTGATTATGTTGAAAACGTGTCATAACATTTGAGCATCTCTGCTTCATCTTGATGCATTGCGTAATCACTTGTGTTGAGATTTTTTCTTTGAGGATCAAATTCTGCAAAGTGATCGTCCAGCGATCAATGCTCGGCAGACTAACACTCTCAAATTCTTAAAGCAATTGTCCAACAACTCTTGATTCAACATCTCCGGAGCACTGATTGGATGTGGCGTTATTTTTATAAATTCATGGAGAAGAGACAACCAATATTTGCATCTGAAATTCTCTCCACTGGGTCTATTATTGCTTGGTGAAACGATTGAAGTCATGCAATTCCATTTTTTTCCAATTCTGAACTAAAGATTACGGCCGCAGGCGACGAGAGTTGTATTTTTGCAGGACTAAGTGGCCGAGTGGTTAAGGCGATGGACTGCTAATCCATTGTGCTCTGCACGCGTGGGTTCGAATCCCATCCTCGTCGTTCAGGGCGCATAATTGATGGTGACCATTTTGCCAGTAAAAGCATGGTTTATTCCTTCTGAAATCTCTTGTGGAATAAGTCAGGTAAGTTACTTTCTCTCTTTAGAAAGCCTTTCTTCCTAGACAATCACACCAAGTACAGCTTTTCATTTTCCAGTCAATATTCCCCAGTTCAAAGGGCTGTGGGTTTTAGTCAGAGCAATTGTCTATTTGTCTGAGAAACACTGCTTTGTGAAATGAAACTTTGTCATGGTGATTATGTTGAAAACGTGTCATAACATTTGAGCATCTCTGCTAGATCTTGATGCATTGCGTAATCACTTGTGTTGAGATTTTTTCTTTGAGGATCAAATTCTGCAAAGTGATAGTCCAGGGATCAATGCTCAGCAGACTAACACTCTCAAATTCGTAAAGCAATTGGCCAACAACTCTTGAATCTACATCTCCAGAGCACTGATTTGATGTGGCGTTATTTTTATAAAGATATAGAGAAGAGACAACCAATATCTGCATCTGAAATTCTTCCCACTGGGTTCACATCAGCATGTTGTACTGATTGAAGTCACACTATTACATTTTTTTCCCCACAAGTCTGAGCTAAATCCTCCAGCCACAGACACCATCATTTTCATTCTTGCACGATGATGTGGCCGAGAGGTTAAGGCGATTAACTGCTAATCCATTGTGCTCTGCGCGCGTGGGTTTGAATCCCATCCTCGTCGGTGTAGTGTGAAGACTTACTGATGATGACCATTCTGCCAGTAAGCATGTGGTTTATTCCTTTTGAAATCTCTACTGTAATAAGTCAGATAACTGACTTTTTTTCCTGGAAAAGGTTCTTCTTCCTCGACAAGTACAGCTTTTCATTTTCCAGTCAATATTCCCCAGTAGGAAGCCCTGTGCGTTTTAGTCAGAGCTGTTGTCTGTTTTCCTGAGTAACACTGCTTTATGAAATGAAACGTTGTCCTGGTGATCATTTTGAAAATGTTTCATAACGTTTGAGAATCTCTGCTACATCTTTATGCATTGGAGAATCACCTGTGTCCACACTTTGTCATTGAAGAATCAAATTCTGCAAAGTAATAGTCCAGGGAACAATGCTCAGCAGACTTTCGAGCTTGCATTTGTAAAATCATGCCCTAGCAACTCTTGAATCAAGGTGTCAGGAGCACTGATTGGATGTGGCATTATTTTTATAAAGTCATAGAGAAGAGACAACCAATATCTGCATCTGAAATTCTCTCCACTGGATCTTTTATTGCTTTTTTAAGCGATTGATGTCACGCAATTCCATTTTTTTCCAAGTGTGGACTAATGATTACGGCCGCAGGAGACGAAAGTTCTATTTTTGCAGGACGAGGTGGCCGAGTGGTTAAGGCGATGGACTGCTAATCCATTGTGCTCTGCACGCGTGGGTTTGAATCCCATCCTCGTCTTTCAGGGCGCATAGCTGATGGTGACCATTTTGCCTATAAAAGCATGGTTTCTTCCTTCTGAAATCTCTTGTGGAATAAGTCAGGTAAGTTACTTTCTTTCTTTAGAAAGGCTTTCTTCCTAGACAATCACACCAAGTACAACTTTTCATTTTCCAGTCAATATTCCCCAGTTCAAAGGGCTGTTGGTTTTAGTCAGAAAATTATCTATTTGTCTGAGAAACACTGCTTTGTGAAATGAAACTTTGTCATGGTGATTATGTTGAAAACGTGTCATAACATTTGAGCATCTCTGCTACATCTTGATGCATTGCGTAATCACTTGTGTTGAGATTTTTTCTTTGAGGATCAAATTCTGCAAAGTGATCGTCCAGGGATCAATGCTCAGCAGACAAACACTCTCAAATTCGTAAAGCAATTGGCCAACAACTCTTGAATCTACATCTCCAGAGCACTGACTTGATGTGGCGTTATTTTTATAAAGATATAGAGAAGAGACAACCAATATCTGAATCTGAAATTCTACCCACTGGGTTCACATCTGCATGTTGTACTGAGTGAAGTCACACTATTACATTTTTTTCCCCACAAGTCTGAACTAAATCCTCCAGCCACAGACACCATTATTAACATACTTGCATGAAGAGGTGGCTGAGAGGTTAAGCCGATGGTCTGTTAATACATTGTGCTCTGCCTGCGTGGGTTCCAATCCCATCCTCGCCGTTTAGGGCGCATAGTTGATGGTGACCATTTTGCCTGTAAAAGCATGGTTTATTCCTTCTGAAATCTCTTGTGGAATAAGTCAGGTAAGTTACTTTCTTTCTTTAGAAAGCCTTTCTTCCTAGACAGTCACACCAAGTACAGCTTTTCATTTTCCAGTCAATATTCCCCAGTTCAAAAGGGCTGGGTTTTAAATCAGAAATATTATTATCTATTTGTCTGAGAAACACTGCTTTGTGAAATGAAACTTGTCATGGTGATTATGTTGAAAACGTGTTCATAACATTTGAGCATCTCTGCTACATCTTGATGCATTAGCGTAATCACTTGTGAGATTTTTTCTTTGAGGATCAAATTTCCTGCAAAGTGATTGTCCAGGGATCAATGCTCAGCAGACTAACACTCTCAAATTCTTAAAATAATTGTCCAACAACTCTTGATTCAACATCTCCGGAGCACTGATTGGATGTGGCGTTATTTTTATAAAGTCATGGAGAAGAGACAACCAATATTTGCATCTGAAATTCTCTCCACTGGGTCTTTATATTGCTTGGTGAAACGATTGAAGTCATGCAATTTTTGATTTTTTCAATTCTGAACTGAATAGAGGTGGATAAGGAAGAGGCTTATGCTTCTATTTTTTGCAGGAGGAGGTGGCCGACTGGTTAACTCGATGGACTGCTAATCCATTGTGCTCTGCTCTGCCTGGTTCAAATCCCATCCTCGTCGTTCAGGGCATAGTTGATGGTGACCATTTTGCCTGTAAAGCATGGTTTATTCCTTCTGAAATCTCTTGTGGAATGAGTCAGGTATGTTACTTTCTTTCTTTAGAAATGCTTTCTTCCCTCTTGACAATCACATCAAGTACAGCTTTTCATTTTCCAGTCAATATTCCCCAGTTCAAGGGCTGTGGGTTTTAGTCAGAGCAATTATCTATTTGTCTGAGAAACACTGCTTTGTGAAATGAAACTTTGTCATGGTGATTATTTGAAAACGTGTCATAACACTTGTGAGTTTCTCTGAAATCTCTGCTAATTCTTTGAGCATCTCTGCTACATCATTATGTTCTTGTCTAATCACTTGTGTTGTGATTTTTTCTTTGAGGATCAAATTCTGCAAAGTGATAGTCCATGGATCAATGCTCAGCAGACTAACACTCTCAAATTCGTGAAGCAATTGGCCAACAACTCTTGAATCTACATCTTTGGAGCACTGATTGGATGTGGCGTTATTTTTATAAAGATATAGAGAAGAGACAACCAATATCTGCATCTGAAATTCTCTCCACTGGGTCTATTATTGCTTTTTGAAGCGATTGAAGTCACGAATTCCATTTTTTTCCAAGTGTGAACTAATGATTACGTTTTCAGGCGGCAAAGTTCTATCCTTTGCAGGACGAGGTGGCCGAGTGGTTAAAATTTTATGGACTGCTAATCCATTGTGCTCTGCAAATATGGATTCAATCCCATCCTCGTCGTTCAGGGCGCATAGCTGATATGTGACCATTTTGCCTGTAAAAGCATGGTTCAGGTAAAGTTACTTTCTTTCCTTTTGAAATGGATGTCTTGTGGAATAAGTCATGTATATTCACTTTTCTTTCTTTAGAAATGCTTTTCTTCCTAGACAATCACAACAAAGTACAACTTTTTTCATTTTCCAGTCAATATTCCCCAGTTCAAAGGGCTGTTGGTTTTAGTCAGAAAATTATCTATTTGTCTGAGAAACACTGCTTTGTGAAATGAAACTTTGTCATGGTGATTATGTTGAAAACGTGTCATAACATTTGAGCATCTCTGCTACATCTTGATGCATTGCGTAATCACTTGTGTTGAGATTTTTTCTTTGAGGATCAAATTCTGCAAAGTGATCGTCCAGGGATCAATGCTCAGCAGACAAACACTCTCAAATTCGTAAAGCAATTGGCCAACAACTCTTGAATCTACATCTCCAGAGCACTGATTTGATGTGGCGTTATTTTTATAAAGATATAGAGAAGAGACAACCAATATCTGCATCTGAAATTCTACCCACTGGGTTCACATCTGCATGTTGTACTGAGTGAAGTCACACTATTACATTTTTTTCCCCACAAGTCTGAACTAAATCCTCCAGCCACAGACACCATTATTTACATACTTGCATGATGAGGTGGCCGAGAGGTTAAGGCGATGGACTGTTAATACATTGTGCTCTGCATGCGGGGGTTTGAATCCCATCCTCGTTGTTTAGGGCGCATAGTTGATGGTGACCATTTTGCCTGTAAAAGCATGGTTTATTCCTTCTGAAATCTCTAGTGGAATAAGTCAGGTAAGTTACTTTCTTTCTTTAGAAAGCCTTTCTTCCTAGACAGTCACACCAAGTACAGCTTTTCATTTTCCAGTCAATATTCCCCAGTTCAAAGGGCTGTGGGTTTTAGTCAGAGCAATTATCTATTTGTCTGAGAAACACTGCTTTGTGAAATGAAACTTTGTCATGGTGATTATGTTAAAAACGTGTCATAACATTTGAGCATCTCTGCTACATCTGTATGCATTGCGTAATCACTTGTGTTGTGATTTTTTCTTTGAGGATCAAATTCTGCAAAGTGATAGTCCATGGATCAATGCTCAGCAGACTAACACTCTCAAATTCGTAAAATAATTGGCCCAACAACTCTTGAATCTACATCTCCGGGAGCACTGATTGGATGTGGCGTTATTTTTATAAAGATATAGAGAAGAGACAACCAATATCTGCATCTGAAATTCTCTCCACTGGGTCTATTATTGCTTTTTGAAGCGATTGAAGTCACGCAATTCCATTTTTTTCCAAGTGTGAACTAATGATTATGGCCGCAGGCGACGAAAGTTTTATTTTTGCAGGACGAGGTGGCCGAGTGGTTAAGGCGATGGACTGCTAATCCATTGTGTTCTGCATGCGTGGGTTCGAATCCCATCCTCGTCGTTTAGGGCCAGAAACGATGGCCTCGTGGATTAGAGCGAGAGTCTGAGCGGATTTTGTTAATAACTTTTGTTTGATTGAGAGAGCGCTTGTTTTGTTTCTACTCCTCGTGTATCCCTTAAGCCCCTATTTTATTTTTGGTTTTTTTCTCGATTTATTTATCCCCCAACAGCATTGCTGTTTGGGGGATATTTTTGTTTGTTTTGCGTTTGTGATCATGAGTGAGCGAGAGAGTGATCGGACGGATTACGTGGCAACTGACCCTGGACCGGCAAAGACGATGAGACCGAAGAAGGATTTGGCTAATGGTGTTCCGCCCGATGGATCTACGGTTAACAGGAATGTTTTTGACAAAGGCTTGACGGTATCTGTGGAAATTGTTGGTGATGACCGAATCACTATGATGGAATTACTTCGGAAAATTAAAGAACTGTGTGGCAAGGTGATTGGATGTCGATTCAAGACGCCGACAAGATATGAGATCACTATGTGCACTGAGGAAGGGAAAAAGAAACTAATCGATGGCTTTAAAATCAAAAATACGAATATTATGGCCAAAGAGCTGGCTAACGACGAGGTGGTCGTCTCTTTTATGAATCTGCCTGTTTATATAGAGGACGCTGTGATCTTGGCAAAACTTTTCATGTGGGGTGTCACGCCGATTTCGCCAATTAGACGGAGAAAATGGACAGGGACCGACATTGCTGATGGGACGCGTTTCCTGAAAGTTAAATTCACTGACACTGTGAAATCGTTACCTTATTCCACGAAGTTTGAGACTTTAGAAGGCGCTGAATATTTTCGGGTAATTCATGATCGCCAAGTTCGAATGCAGGCTCTGCATACAATCGGGACATGTGATCCGGGATTGCCCGGAGTTTCTGTGCAGACGATGCGAGCAGCAAGGGCATTATGCCCGAGAATGTCACCTGTATTCGTGCGGCGATTGCAAAAAGCTAAAGCAAAACTGCATATGTTATGACCGAACTGCGGCCGAAGGGGAGTTGAATCCTGAAAGTCGGGAGCTGAATGAGGTGGATAAGGAAGAGGAGATGCCTTCGTTAGAAGGGAGTGATGACGATGCAGACGAGGAGGACCCTGATGTACACCCATCCCAGTCATGGTCAGCGGAAACAGCCGAAAACCAAGCAGTTCTACCGCGAAGCAGCCAGATGGGAAGTACCCTTGATGACATTATTCCAGAGGAACTAAGAAGCCAGGAGCCTGTAGCTCGGACTGAGAGGCAGGCGGGGGCTGCTGAAGCCCTCGCTACGCCTCTTGAGAAGAGCGGAGATGGGGAAAGAGTACTGGCTACCGAGCCCTCTGGAGATGGCGGTGCTTCGGACGCGGCGGATCAGGATATTGCTGGGTCTGGTGTACTATTTACTCAGTCGGAAGAGGCTGAGGCTGAGATGATGGAAGAGGATGAGGGTGATGAGACCGACTCGGATGTAATTCGGGGACTTGTAGGTTTGCGCCGTCGGGCGTTATTGGAGGAGAAAAGGAAGCGCGTAATAGAGCGAATTACGCAAGAAGGAAAGAAGAGTAGGAAAGGGGGACGTTTGAAGAGATAACTGTGAGTCATTATGTTCTTGTCTCTTCTCTATTTTATGGCGATCATAGTTTCTTTTAATGCCAATGGCTTAAGAAACAATGATCGATTTAAACAGATGCTTGAGTCCTGCAATGCAGATATAATTTGTTTACAAGAGACGAACTGGGACTATAAGAAAAGTGATGAACTACGGAGGATTTGGCGTGATGAAATGTTTGTTAATAAAGGAGCTGAAAACACTTGTGGTGTTGCAATTTTAACTGACTCTGCCACTGTTAAAAATTGCCGCTTATTATATGATGATAAGTGTGGAAGACAAATTAGTATTGAATATACATTTAATGGTGTTGTTTTCAGATTGTTCAATTTGTATGCTTTCAAAGATGGAAAGGAGCGGAAAAAAATTTTATTGAAATTTTACATGATAACATAGTTTTTAAAAATATGAAGATTCATTAGAGGAATTTACATTCTGGTTTATTGTAATATGTGAATGATGTGCTATTATATTTTGAATTCATGGATGTCTAGTGTCAAATCATGTTACATGTATATTCACTGATGTAATTTATTCAATAAAAAAAAAAAAAAAAAAAAAAAAAAAAGGCGATGGACTGCTAATCCATTGTGCTCTGCACGCATAGGTTCGAATCCCATCCTCGTCGTTCAGGGCGCATAGCTGATGGTGACCATTTTGCCTGTAAAAGCATGGTTTATTCCTGCTGAAATCTCTTGTGGAATAAGTCAGGTAAGTTACTTTCTTTCTTTAGAAATGCTTTCTTCCTAGACAATCACAACAAGTACAACTTTTCATTTTCCAGTCAATATTCCCCAGTTCAAAGGGCTGTTGGTTTTAGTCAGAAAATTATCTATTTGTCTGAGAAACACTGCTTTGTGAAATGAAACTTTGTCATGGTGATTATGTTGAAAACGTATCATAACATTTGAGCATCTCTGCTACATCTTGATGCATTGCGTAATCACTTGTGTTGAGATTTTTTCTTTGAGGATCAAATTCTGCAAAGTGATCGTCCAGGGATCAATGCTCAGCAGACAAACACTCTCAAATTCGTAAAGCAATTGGCCAACAACTCTTGAATCTACATCTCCAGAGCACTGATTTGATGTGGCGTTATTTTTATAAAGATATCGAGAAGAGACAACCAATATCTGCATCTGAAATTCTTCCCACTGGGTTCACATCTGCATGTTGTACTGATTGAAGTCACACTATTGCATTTTTTTCCCCACAAGTCTGAACTAAATCCTCCAGCCACAGACACCATCATTTGCATTCTTGCACGACGAGGTGGCCGAGAGGTTAAGGCGATGAACTGCTAATCCATTGTGCTCTGCACGCGTGGGTTTGAATCCCATCCTCGTCGGTGAAGTGTCAAGACTTACTGATGATGACCATTCTGCCAGTAAGCATGTGGTTTATTCCTTTTGAAATCTCTACTGTAATAAGTCTGATGACTGACTTTCTTTCCTGGAAAAGGTTCTTCTTCCTCGACAAGTACAGCTTTTCATTTTCCAGTCAATATTCCCCAGTAGGAAGCCCTGTGCCTTTTAGTCAGAGCCGTTGTCTGTTTTCCTGAGTAACACTGCTTTATGAAATGAAAACTTGTCCTGGTGATCATTTTCAAAATGTTTCATAACGTTTGAGAATCTCTGCTACATCTTTATGCATTGGAGAATCACCTGTGTCCACACTTTGTCATTGAAGAATCAAACTCTGCAAAGTAATAGTCCAGGGAACAATGCTCAGCAGACTTACCAGCTTGCATTTGTAAAATAATGCCCTAGCAACTCTTGAATCAAGGTGTCAGGAGCACTGATTGGATGTGGCATTATTTTTATAAAGTCATGGAGAAGAGACAACCAATATTTGCATCTGAAATTCTCTCCACCGGGTCTATTATTGCTTAGTGAAACAATTGAAGTCATGTAATTCCATTTTTTTCCAATTCTGAACTAAAGAT